TACACGAATCACAACCAAACCTCTGCCAATTCCTCACTATGGTCCCCAAACATGAAAAAAAATCCGTTCCCAGAAGCATGAATGTGAATGCGCAAACCGGGCGTATAGGCATAACCCGAAATCAGACCCTACACCAACAACCCCTACCGAATCCTAACACACATTATCGTAAGTAAGCCTAACGCGACAAAAAAAACGCAAAAGGAAGTGGTGACAGTATTTTTTCAACTTTTAGACAGATCATCTAAAAGTGCTTGATGATTAGAATACAACAAAGTTATTTTCTGATGTGACGAGATATGTCTAGAGAGTTACGAGCGCCATCGGTGCCAGAAGGTCAAAATTGCTTTAAACACAGCAATTTATTTAAGGATAATCACCTCACTCAAGGTCATTTTCGGAAGGAAGTTTCAATAGCCAACGCCAACAATAAACAAACTACTTCAATTTAGGCTTGTAAGGCACTTCCACTATATAGTTCACAGAGAATACAGTTTGTCAGGGGAATTTTGCAGTCCATTTAGCATTCACCAAAGCTATTGGATGGTAACTCGTGTGGAAAATTACCTGTGATCTAGGCAGTGTCCACTATAGAGGAAATTGATCTCCGGGTTTTCCATCTTTTTACTCGAATATGAATCTCTCCTCCTCCAAGCGGCTGACAAATCCTCGTTCTGTGCCTTGCGCATATTTTATTCAGAATACTTAATACTATATTGTGGGTAGATAGAAGAGTATGTAGCCATTTCTCTCCGTTTGTATTGTCTCAGTAGGCTGTAGAGCAGCATTTCGAAGAAGCCCGCAACGGGGGAGCATCTTGCTCGCTCTGTATGATCTTTAGAGCTAATATCAAATAGTTGTTTTTCAGCACCGTGGATACGATGCTGGAATCGTGAGAACCTTTATTTGTCCATTATTAAATGTGCGCATGTCGCCATCAACTTCTTGCTTAGTCGTTTTAGACTAGTTGCTAAGATTGTCCAGATCACCTGTTTAGTTATTGTCACAACAGGCTGCATAGGCAGTAGGACAACGTTGTGGCTGCGAACACTCTACCTAAAATTATATCCCCTCAATTTCCTGGAAGTAGTAAGAACAAGCAGTTTTAGTACAAGGAGGAACGAGTTGGGTTCCATAACTATCTGCCGGTTAACCCTCATAAACTGCAGACTTGATAAACCTAACATGTAACGGCTCCATTGGAAGTCTGTATAACAAGCGTAGGAATCAGTAGCAGCACTAAATAAAATCCAAACTTGCAGCTTTATATAATCCTGCTGAAAAGTCAGTTGCAATTGTAACTCCGCCTTTCCAATCAAATTTAAGAAAAAATATTCTTATTAGGGTTGGATATATACTGGAGTGTACAGTAAGTGTTTTAACAAGTCGATAGTACATTCTTTCACATAACTGTAAGCTATGAACTCCGTGCTAACCAAAGCAGGTATTAGTAGTGCCTTCGTATTAATTTTTTAAGTGCGTTTGATAAATATATTTTCATTTATGCTACCACCAATCTTTGCCTAAATGCAACGAATCATATTATATTATGGCTATAGGAGAAATTGCGCAGAACTTTTTTTAAGTATGCAATCTCGAAAAACAAGAGCCGTTAATGTACAGCAATTTATGCTACAATCCTAGACTCAGTTCATAGTTGCTTAATTGAACATTCCGAAACGATGAACTTTTCGTCTAATTATTTAGTGCTTGCACCGTCATTAAAAGTATTATTGGAAAATATCTGACGCAAGAGCTTAATGGTGAGTATTATTAACACTCGAAGCGCAAGGCCTACTTTCAACAACATGTTCTAGTAAGGCTATTAAGTACATATTCCAGTCTACCCTATTGGTAGGTAAGCAGAATTACAAAAAAAAGGAAACAATATAACGAATTGGGCCAAACTGCCGACATAACTGGTTTCATTCTTGGCACGGTAGCATGCAGTGCCTGCAAAAATATACTTTTTAATGATAAGTGATTTTTTACTGTAAATCTTAGAACCCACAACGGGGCGCTTGTGAAAGTCAGCTGTTGCTGTACTTTTAAAGTCGCAACTGCGGAAAAGTTAAGATTTATGAACTAAGAAATATTATAAGTAATAAGTAACGGGGAAGCGAACCTGGGTAGCAAGTCGAAAGTTTGAAGAGGTCTGTTCTTTGTCAGTGTCGTCAGTGCGCACTCCATAAATAATAGGTTTACAGACTGGATTGACTGCGAGCTAATTGGCAACCATTCGCGTTCTCGCTGCCTTCACCGCCACCTAAAAGCTCTAATAGCGGCTTGATGGCATGCTCTGTAGTCAAATCGAATGGCTATGATCAAGTCTGTAGAACGAAATTCCGCTATGACGGTTTGTTGGCCTCTCCGTAAGGTAGGCTGGTTTTTACGACGTCTCTGACTGGCTTCCGTAGATGTGCAGCCGTAATATACCAATATTTTTCGTGTTGGTAGTGACATAACTCTACTGGCCGAGAGAGCGAGAGAGATCGATGCATCAGTGACGGCTAATGAGGCACAAATGGCCAGTTCAGTCTCCTATGTCTTTGTCGGCAATGTTCGTCGGCGTAAGCTACTTGCCGCTGTGTGGCTGCTGGCGGGGCTCGAGAGCGAGTCCCAAGGCATACCGGGAAGTGTGAATTCCCTTAACAATCGGTGATTGTTTAACAACAAAATCGATACATCTGTTGATAGAACTAGCCCCTAGAAGCTGGCTCAAGTCTGACCAACTGGACTAGCTTGTTAAAAGGATATGCGTTATTTAATGCTTCGCAAACCTTCACACTTTCCAGCCAAGACAGACTTTGGAATTTCGTCTGGTGATAAATGTTTTGAAGGGCTCCTTTTATTCGTTCGTTCTTCACGTATGACCTTCACAGCCTATTGGCTGAGGAGAGACTTTTTAATATAGAAAAAATCCGCGCCAGTACGTACCAGAATATCTGAAGAGAGAATTTAAACACTTAAAGAGGTAATAATTTGTAAAAAATAGATATCATGGGCTATTATCTGGTTCGATATCGACAACAGTTGCTTTCTAAAGCCCGTGTTAAGCCCATTTTCATGGACAAGTTTTCTCACAACGATCGCTTAATAGTGACCGCAGAGCTAACTTCTCTGTTAGAGAAAAAGCGTGACATCGACTTTGATAGAGGTATCTATCCAGTATAATGATTGAATGGGTTATGGAGTCTTTCCATCTAGATACTGTCCACAGACAACGAGAAAATTCTGTTTCAGTTGACCCAATTGTGAAAAAAACTCGCGGCCTCGGTAGGAGTCGAACCTATACAGATTAGGCGGGTAAATAGCCACAAGTGTGGTTAAATTCACAGCTTATTGTGAGTCTAGTAGCTCAGTGGTAGAGCGTTTAGTGTGCAAACGCCTTCCCTGCTGAGTGGGTTCGACTTCCACAGAGCACGTGAGTTTTCTTCACAATTTGGTGAACTGAATTACTCAAATCTGCCAAACCTCACCAAAACCTTCAATTAATATTGCCTACAAGGCATATACCTCTGACCTTTACATACTGTGAGTATGTAGTAATAAAACATTGACAGTCACTTTTAAAAGGCTCCTGAACATAAGATGTGCGTAAGCGCGTTTGCGGGGTGTATTAGTACATAGTACATACTTCAGACTAGTTTCTTATAAGCATGTTTCTGGCCAGCAGCGCAAACCAAAAGCGAAAATACAAACAAGTATTCAAGGCCATAGGTGTCCCATCTATCTTCTAGTATTCTATCAGACCAACGGCATCCGAAGGTAGCATGCGCCCACCCAAACGCTATGGTGCTCGTTTTGCGCGTTGTCTATTAAATGTTTTACTCAAAAAACCAGTCTATTCTAGTTCTGTAAAGGTCTACCGATCCACGTATGTCTCTTACTGCTTCATGCGTGTTTCAAATACCAGTGCAATAGGTCTTATTTAATTCGAATTCGCGGAATGATTATCACTTTTCTCTCAGGACGCCATCTGATGTTCAAATAGCTTCACTTCACATTGTTTTTGAACATAATTAGCAAACAAACTAACACTAAATTACACTAGTGCAAATCTAAACAGCTACCAACCACACATCTGTAGAACGTGTGCATTCTTTTCTTACAAATATTGCATTTTGGAAAGAGGTACTCTACTGCGGACCGACTGCGCACTTAAATGTTCGTATACATTTTCGGGTTGATTGTCATACCATGGAGAATCGATGAAAATGTTATAAACAAAAAGAAGTAAACATTTTGACTATGCTGCTTACAAAATGCTGGTTAAGGGGTGCCAACCTCAATTTTGGATAACATGTCGTTCTTGCCATTTGTCACAATTGAATTTAAATGCATTTCTCTGTTTAAAGTATGTTTTTAATGTTTACGTGGTTATAGTGCATCCGATAAATCCCCGTTGGATTCACTGAAATTAGCGCAGGACAAAGTACGCCGCGCCTCGATCTCATGAAAGGTATATATGTACGGGTACGGAAAGGCGGAGTTTATTTTTACATTTAAAAGCAGGGAAGAATGGGTGGGTAGGAGGCATCCAAATTTACATGGGGGACCTTGTTGGTGAGGAGGGATGGGTGTGGTCAGCGTCTAGACCGGCGTCAGAAACGGCTTCCTACCCCGAAAAAATGCACTGGGGTGTAAGCAAAAAAAAGAGGAGGGAAGGGAGTGGGTAAAAAGATGAAGTTACCAGAACATTTTGGTTTGATCGGCCGAACGCGCTCATTGTATGACTTTTTTGTATTTGTGAATGATTCGAGAGTGAAAGGGTCCTGTTCGCTAATAATTCTCTCTTTCCCCATTGTCATCCTGTTTTGGTTTTTTTTACATAAAATGAACAGCACGCTTCTGACCGCAAGGCACTGGGTGTGGGGGCTTATGGCAAAGAGGGATGTTGGCGGAGCCACTCACTTTTTCGTCTCAAAGTCAGGCTTGTTCACAGGATCTGTAAAAGTTCTGTAAACCCTAGCGTATCCTTTCGCTCCAGCCGGTAAGCTTCAGTTAGCAGGTGCATTGGCTGCCTCCCCACTGACTGAGCCACGTGGTGTCTGACCAAACCGATAATTTGCGTCACCGGGATATTGGTGTATGACAGTGCTCATACTCCCCTGAGAAGTCATTGTCTGGTCGTTGGTGGGGGCAACCTTAAAT